TAGAGAGTGCGACCACGGGCGCTATGTTAAAAAATGTCCCACCGGTGCTTATGCTGGAACAAGAGTCCACATGGGTTGTCCGCATGTCCGCGCTATGAAGAACTTCCTGTGCTAGAAAGAATCCACATTAAGGGTGCGACCGCGCGAACACACACACGCAAATCAGAAATTTCCGCGCCGGGGTCGTTTGCCACGACAAGTCTACATTCAGAGTGCAACCACAGGCTTACACTGTCAAGAGATTTCGATACCGGTGCTCGCTGCCAGGAAGGGTCCACGTTCAGAGAGCGAGTGCGCGCACGCTGCTGAAAATTTCCACACCGGTGCCTTCTGTTTGCAAGAGCCCAAATTGAGAGCGCGACCACGCATTCGCACTGCTAAAATACTTCCGCGCCGGCGCTCCCTGCTAGAAAAAGTTTACTGGGAGAGTGCCACTGTGTTCTCACGCTGCTATGCGACTACCAAACCGGCGCTCTCTGTTACAAGACGTCGACATTGCGACTGCGACCACACGCTCACACGACTGAACGACCTAGTCGCCGGTGGTTCCTGTTAGAAAAAATCCACATTGAGAGTGTTACAGAGACTCGACCGCCTGTTCATGTTGCTTAACGACTTCCACGCCTGCGCTTCCTACCAGAATCTACTAGAGACTTTGTGAAGTGAAAATGCCACCGTGCGCTCCGCTGCTAGACGACTTCCGCACCGGTACCCTGTGCTAAAAAGCTTCCTCAGTGAGATGGCGGCACATGCACACACAGCACTTTCGCAGAAGCTCCATGCTAGCAGCTTTGCGCATTGGGGTGCCTGACACGGGCATGCGCCACTGCCTGGACCGAAGTTTGGCCCGACTTGATGTAATCGTGAACCTAGTCCATGTGGCATTGCAACAGCGGCCGAGCATGCCGGGCTTCTAGAACGCCAAAAAAAAGAGCCGGGGGTGAGGGATTGCTCGAAATCGTCCGCGCAGCAGTTCGACCTGCAGAAACGGACTTCGCGGTCGGCGTTGCTGTGAGTTTCTGAAAGCAAAGGTTTCCTGTTTGTAGTAACGGCATGCAGCTTTTGATGCATGCTACATAGCACACAGAATCCAGTTGTGATGTCGTTTCTTGAAGAGAGGCATATGGTTTGCGAAACCTCTACTCCTAGGCCACACCCTACTGTGACTAACCCTGCATGCTGCCATGGCAAGGTGTAAGTAATCCCTGTATAGGACTAGGTTTAAAAAGAACATGCTCCACGGGCAAACCCCCCCGTCAATGACTCACCTGTCAGCGTTGGAAGCTGAGCGATTGCTGAGCAATCCTGGATTGTTCTCCGTTTTGCAAGCTTTTGCAATGTATCGCGCCAGTCGCAAGGATGTCACGGGCTTTCCCTTGACACCTTCTGCGCTCCTGCGCAAAGCCGAGTCTGGCTTTGGGACTGAACGGTCCGAGTTTGAAAAGCATCGCTGCGGCCTTCAAGGTTTCTCGAAAGACTGACTTCCGGCTCTTGGACCTTGCGTACCTTGTCCTGCTAAACCCCTGACTTCTGAAGACTTTGCAGCCCCTACTTCAAGGTTCACAGGTATTCGTAATTACGGTTTCGAGTGCTGCTGCTGCTACTGTTACTGCTGCTAGTGCGCTTTGCTGTCTTGCGGAACATGGCTTTTGTCCCCACCGGCCACGGGAAACAACAGAATGCAAACAAGAAACACATGCTTCTGCAATTTGCGTCAGCCACTTTACCACAGTAAAAAACTCAATTTTTCTCTTGAAAACGTGGCTCCTGCAAGAAAACAAACACCAGGCAAAGAGACTATGTTCGAGACTTCTGCGTGTAAAACGCAGGTTTTGTCCCATGCAGGCCACGTAAAACACATATCGGAATTTCCGTTGTTTCCACGAAAATGAACATGCCTAAGACCTCGGCAAAAACGAGTGAAAACGCATGTTGCCGAAACGTGACATGTCGTTCGTCCCATGCAGGCCACTCAAAACGCGCGCTGTAGCTGTTCTTCATCTATTAATATTCTTTGCGTTGTTAATATTATTACTTGTTTTTGCTTTGTTGTTGTTGCTCTTCTTCTTGTTTTTCTTCTTGGTGCTTGTGTTCTTCTTGTTGTTACGATTATTGTTATTCTTATTGTTCTCGTTGTTATTGTTCTTCTCGTTGTTCGTGTTGTTCTTGCTGATCTTGTTCATGTTGTCCTTGCTGTGCTTGTTCGTGTTATTCATATTGTTCTTGGTCATGTTGTTATATGTTGTTCATGTTGTTAAGATTGTTCACTTTGTTCAGGTGTCGTGCACCCAAGTCGAGAATATCATCAGCATCGGCTCGGCTGCAGAGAACAGAACACGTTGGCAACGATGCAGACAGCCTTTTGCTGAAACCAGGAGGGTGACCATGTGAACACGGTGCAAAGTGGCAGAGCGCGCAATGAAGCGTCTTGCTGAGTTGGTCTTTCACAGCAGCAGAAAAAGTAACCAACTCAAAAGATGGCACATACTCATGTAGGGCCACATCAGATACGTATGGTGCAATCTGAAACAGATGACAGGCAGCCAGGCGATCTGTGTGAAAAGTCACACAAAGATTGAAGCGAATTCGGAATTTTCGCTGCGCGCCTTTCTTCACTGAACTCTTGACGGTTCCACTCATTCCTTTGCCTGTCTTCCTCTCTGCTTGATGAAGGCATGGACTCTGTCGACACGGGTGCTGTGACGAAGTCACGTCCACTTGTGCTGTGCATGCGTGCGTGGACCTTGTCAAGCATAAAAGCGGGTGCATGGGCATGTTTGTGGATTTGGGTGTGCATGCCTCTGAGGTTGTTGCTTGTGCAGAAGCGTTGAAGTGCCTGAGATCCCACGAATCATTTTTGAGGGTAACAGCTTTGCAGTATCTAGACATCATGTCATGTAAGTGATATCCACGATGCCCCAGCTCGACTCAGCATGTTTTGTAGTGTGTTGTACACGAGAAGCCCACAAGCCTTATAAGCCCAAGACACGGACCGTAAATGCCGGACTCCCAAATCTTAAGTCCTGAAGATGTGCAGTGCTGTTGCGCCCTCTCTGTCAATGTGTCGATTTGTTCTGGTGGCCATGTCACCTGTGCCAACCAGTGTCGACGGCTTGGCTACACAGCGGTAACTCTTCAGCTGCATTGTTCCGGCCGATGAGCTCAGGTAGATGGATGTTACTCCATGAATGCGGCAGCAACTGCGAAGGTGAGTATGATCCCAGTCTGGGAAGTCTGAAGGCTGTAATCCTGGGATTCGTTTGATTTTCAGTCCGATGCCTCTCCAACTTCCCTGCCAGGGCGGGACGTAGACAGTAGCCAGCATGGCCCTGGTTGGGTTGCTTGTTCCTTCTAGCAGGGATGTTGCAGCATGTCATGTGAGATCCGAAGTCCGAGAACGGGCTTTGCCCGTTTAGCAGCAAGTGGCGAATCGCTAAGGATGTTCGCGACTACCTCGGTGCTCTCGATGACGATCAGCATGTTGCCAGTCTTCGCTGTCTCAAGACTACGAACGACAACTTGCCGGGCAAGAAGTCGTTGTGCTTGTCACAAGTGCCGGTTGTGGTTGCCAAGTGTGGGTTTCGTTGGTCTGATTTAAGTGGCCTTCAGAGCTCGCATGGATCTTTGCGGTCATGCCGCTTGGTTTGCAGCCGTGCCGGGATAAGAAATGGGCAGGCTCGAAGCATTGCTTTAAACGTCCATCTCGGAAATGTAAGCTGAGCGCAGCTAGAGATTAGCCTGCGTGTCCTCGCAGAATCGGATTGAAACGGTTTTTCAGAAGACGACATGGCTTGATTCAATCATTTCTGAGACAAGTTGCCGTCGAACCTTGCCCGACATTTCTGCATCTACTTCAAGTAGTAGCATTTCGCCAAACAAACTGCACCAAGCGATGCGAGAGTGCAAAGCTTCCGAAACATCAGTGCTAGGCACAGTATCGTCCCAGTGTGCAACAATAGACAGTCGCAGTTTCGTAGAATGCCACCAGCTAAACGTGGAAAGCTGCAAGAAGCCAGAAGCAGTGGTCGTGCTACTGTACTGCTTGGCGTGGGACGGCCGGCCAGATAGCACAGTTTATTCCTTGCCAGCAAGTTCTTTCTTGGTCTGAGCCTCGCATCTTGAAATCCACACCTGCATCGCGTACACGCAGATGTTCAACATGTGGGTTTCCCCCTTGCACATCTGTACCTGCTGTTACAGTACTTGCCGAGCCTCAGAAAAAGTACGGGCGTTTTGTGTGTTTCGAGGTTTTGAAAATTTAGCATTTTGCTGTGCTGTTTTTGAAGTCCGAGGAACCTATTTCTTTTGGACATTTATTCGCTTGGTTTCGACTGCGTGGCCGTCAATAAAATCCGCTGGTGACACGGGACGAGCTGAGCTGAGCTGTGTGGCACAGCTTCGGCCTGGCATAAGCGATGTGAAGTCTCTGCTTCTGTAAGACGCAGCCCGGCCAGGTACGGGGCTCAGTGTAGCAGCGTTGCCGGTTTTGCTGACTTGGATCCTGGTGGCGGGAATGCGCCTGCGAATGATCAGTTTGTGCCCTTCAAGAGTTTGGCAAGGAACTTGGGGCGGGACACAGGGGAGACAAGTCCTGCAGCTTGTCTGGCCAAGTTCTGATCGTTTCGCATCTGCTAAAGACTACTTGGCTGGTGCCTTGCCTCCCGAAGCATCGTCGATTCGAGCTGTCAAACACCTTGAGCGCCATGGCCGAATTTGCAGGGCTTCACGTTGCGTTTAAGTCCAACAGCTGGGGCGAAGATGGAGCCTGAAGCCTTCGAAAATCTTTGCTTGCCAGGGAGGCACCGAGACACCGGGTCATTGAACCCTGATTTTCGCGTGAGTACGGCAAGACAGTCAGCGCAATTTAAGGTGCGCGCGAGATTCAATGACTCAAAGCTACCTCGGTTTTGATGGCGAAGAAATCACCTGTACGACAAGTCTTAATTTACCCGCAATCTGCTGTTGTGGATATGTTGGGGAGACGAGCCTGATGTGGCTTTATGCACCCTGCAAAGGTGATCCAAGTGACCGTCACCATCGCCAGCAAACATCTCTCGACACCCAGACTGTTCCCCTGCATGTCTTGTGTAGAGTCTGCCTTCGTTCCAAGTCGTCGTGTTTTTGCACGTAGCATTAGAAGACGATCCTAGAGGTGCTAGTCCCACCCGAATGGCGCGCATGCAATCATGAGGCACAGTGGCATCTTTTGCTTCGAGTCTTGGCCAATCATGGCACCGCGGAAGCTGACCTCAGCAATTGGCACCGGTGACTCCTGCTCAGTTGGTTCAGTAAAGCCCCGGGTACATGAGCATGGTTATCCTGGGTTTGCTTCTGCCGCAAGTCTGCATGTTCATTCATGTCATCAGCAGGTTGTCTCTGTGGGAGGCGGTCAATCGAAGTCATGTAAACCTCGTGACAGGGTGCTATCGGCTGGGATCGTCCAAACGGCTTGCTCACCCACCCGCTCTTGTTGCCGATCTACATCTCTCTCTCTCTCTCTCTCCTCGCTTGCTCGCTCTCGCCACACACTCTCCTCGTTTCTCTTTCTGGAGTTCTATGTCAATGTCCTTGTGTAGGGCGATGCTTGATCAGACCACAAGCTTTGTGACCCCATCGCTTTCTATGCCTTGGCAACCACTGGCACAAAACCTTCGATTGCAGACTCTAAACTCCAGCTGGTCGCACCGTAGACAGTCTAGCCCATCCGCCGATGAATCATGCGCTGAGCCGCGGAGGGTTTGGTCGAATCAGACAGGATCCCCACAGTGATAACTTGTGTGATTGCTTGCTCAGGTATGCGCAGTTTGCCGCCAGGAAGGGCAGACGTCACTTCGGTCCATCTTCTTTCTGAATGCGCGCTTCCGAGTGGACTATTGGTGGTATGGCATCCCGTCTCAACGCGAACTGCTTCAAACAGTCGGGCACTTCGGGCAACAGATGGCCATGCTTACTTGCCACGGCGCCAGGTGGTGAGAGCTTGAATTGCACAATTCCCGTGCAAACCCGACATGAAATTACTTGGGTGTTCCTGTCGGATGGTATTGTTGTAAGCCTGTTGTGAGCCGATGTGGGCAACGCCCGGCAAGAATCTCCTGCGAATGTAACATGGTTGCTCAAGCTGTGCTGAGAGGTAGAAGTAGTTCAACAGGCCTGCTGCAAGACTCCGGGCATGCTGGAGACTTTGATGACCTGACAGAGAAAGCGTTGCTGCATATAGTGATCTCGAAGCACATGCACCTGCCCCATTGACATGTTGCAGAATCTTGCCTTTGCCTTTGTAGGCTTTTGAATGGCTCGCTTCTAAGCTCCTTCTCTTGGCACATTCAAAAGACGAGTCCCCGCGGGAGAGGGTCTTGATTGTACGAGAAGCCTGTGTGTTTGGAAGGCCTGTGCAGGAGCTGTTGGACGAGGTGCGGTGCCCGGGCAGCAAGTTTGGAAAGCTCGGGCGTGGCATGCCGAGTGCGTGAGACATCGCACCATGGGTTCGGTTCTGGGTTCTGGCACGTCACCTGCTGTTTGTTGCTCTGGCGATCTTCTGAAAACCAGGTAGAAGCCGAAGTGGATGCTGGAGCATGCTTGGTCGTGGACGCTTGGGGGCAACAAACTTTGAACGCGGATGCGTATCTTCTGCGGAACCAACTTCAGCGGCTTTAGTCAAAAACATCGGCTCCGGTCGACAATTAGGTCGGGTTGCTGCCGCAAACAACTGCTAGTGTTTCGGGTGAGGTTTGTTTCGACGTGGTTAAATTCAAACAAAATTCCATTTTCTTCCCAACTGGGCAGTGTAGTCGAGACCGTTGAACCATTGTTGAACTTAAACGCGGAGATTCCGCTGAACCAACTTCAGCGGCTTTAGTCAAAAGCATCGGCTCCGGTCGACTATTAGTTCGGGTTGCTGCCGCAAACAACTGCTAGTATTTCGGACCCCAAAACTCCAAAGTTCCGAGAATCCCGTGTGAAGATCTTGACACATTCAATTTCAGATAGTGCTTGCTTGAGACCGGGTTTTGCGGTTCCTAAGGGAAGCCTGCGGGGATTGGAAGGCCGGCGTCGAAGCCATTGGACGATGCGCTGTTCCTTGATCTTTGCTGCACGCTTCTTGGTGTCCAAGAGTGGCTATAGGGTAGGTAGGTTCGTCGAGTTTAAGATGCGGGCGATACTTCTGAAAAGGTTGTGACACTGCTGCGCGGGAGGGGTGAATCTCCCATAAACTGATCACGCAGCCTAGCGCTTGTATGGCGTTGCGGGCGTTGCGGATTCAGCATTGAAGTGACGGGGCTCAGCACGCATGCAGAGTATGTGAGACATCGAACAGCCTCGAGTGCTGCTTGTTGCCGTGACGGTCTTTCGAGGACGATGTGGAAGCAGAAGCGGACGTTGGAGCAAGCCTGGTCGTGGACATCTGGGGGCCTCCGGGCCACAAACACAACGAGCCATCAAGATGGATGCTCACTTTGCGCAGAACCGGTTCAGTTCATCTTTAACATCTGTACTAGCATGCTAAGTCCTTTGGATCCCCCGAAGAAGAGCACGGACGAAGGGCAAGAGGTTGCGGAGGGTTCCTCTGCAATCAAAAGGGTGCCTTCGGGTGATGTTTGACCTTGAGGTTTAAGCCGTTTTGGCCCTTAATAGTAACACAAGTACTGGGACTGTCCGTGATTCTTCGTACTTTTGTTATTGCTGCTGCTGTTGCACACAGTTGTAACTGTTGGTGTCGTGGTTGTAACTGTTGGTGTCGTTGTCGCTGCTGCTGTTGCTGCCTTGCCTTCGTTTGTGGCTGCTGTTTCTGCTGCTCCTTTGGCTGGTGCTGAAGCTGCTGGTGTTGTTGTTGGCCTTGTCGTGGTCGTCTTGGCATCGTCAATGTTGTTGATGGCTCGGTTGAAGGTTCTGCTTCTGCTGCTCTTGATACTGGTCCCGAGTCTCATGCCGACTAAGAATTCAACTTTGCAATCCCTCGCAAGCCATTTGGAAAGGACCAGGCACTCATTGTGGTATGTTGTCGCTTGTATGATATGCACGGTACGGTGCAGCATGTTTAGAAGTTTAGAATTCCCTAATCATGTACCTGTCGCTATTCCAGTCTTGTTGTCAACATGAATGATTACGTAGTATCGGTATCACCAAGACCAGACACCAGACACCACTGCTGCAACAGCTTCCCTACACCTGAAGCCTTGAATCCCACACCCCGAGCTCCAAGCCCCAAACTTATGATCTTCCGAGTGACAGCGGGAAACCGAAACGGGGACGACAAGAGCCACGGATTTCAATTGAAAGCAAACCGGAAGCCCTTGGCCCCCACTGTTCAACCCTGCGCTCCAACCCAACGCCTAGCTCCTGATCTTCCTAAAGAACTCTAAAGGTGCTGGGCTTTAATCCGTACCAAATGTTCCACCTGCTCGACGATGAGTCCGGCGAGGCGCAAGATGGGGTTTTAGGGAGACTCGGGTTCAGGGTCGGGG